CACCTGAGCTTTAAAAGACCCTGTGGCAACCATGGCTTTGCCCTCAGCAGTCCTGTGACTCAGTCACTCAGGCAGAGTTAGACAAAATAGTACAAGACAAACTACTCACAGAAGAGTAAAACCTGCTTACCCAAGCGTGTGCAAATAAAAATGAAGGATTCAAACTTCCCACATCCTAGGTCTAACACAGAACCTCCCTGGCAGCTTAGGGAACTGTGCTCAGGCCAAAGGTCAAGAAAGTATCGTAAGTATAACTCTTACATATACTGTGTGTTATCTTGCTGAATCTGATTTATGATATCATAACTGATTTTTAGATTAATTATCTCTTGGAGATAATTATTTCCTGTAACTAAGAACTCATTTTTTCAAACATTTTTTATATGTGGCAAAATAAATTTGGGGAAGGGCTCCCTCAAAACTAAAAATGAGGAATAAACAATAATTTTTAAAAATCAGGTTAATACCACAGTTCACTTTGGTGCAGGTACTGCAAGTAAATCTTAGGATAACTTCCAGGATAAGCTTAATGTCTGATAAAGAAATCCTTCTATGGAACAGGATAGAAAGCCCAGAGATAAACCCACACACATATGGTCACCTTATCTAGAAGAGGCAAGAATATACAATGGAGAAAAGACAGCCTCTTCAATAAGTGGTGCTGGGAAAACTGGACAGCTACATGTAAAAGAATGAAATTAGAACACTTCCTAACACCACATACAGAAATAAACTCAAAATGGATTAAAGACCTAAGTGTAAAGCCAGACACTATAAAACCCTTTGAGGAAAACATAGGCAGAACACTCTATGACATACATCACAGCAAGATCCTTTTTGACCCACCTCCTAGAGAAATGGAAATAAAAATAAAAAATAAACAAATGGGACCTAAATGAAACTTAAAAGCTTTTGCACAGCAAAGCAAACCATAAACAAGACGAAAAGACAACCCTCAGAATGGAAGAAAATATTTGCAGACGAAGCAACTGACAAAGGATTAATCTCCAAAATATACAAGCAGCTCATGCTCAATATCAAAAAAACAAACAACTCAATCCAAAAATGGGTGGAAGATCTAAACAGACATTTCTCCAAAGAAGATATACAGATTGCCAACAAACACATGAAAGGATGCCTAACATCACTAATCATTAGAGAAATGCAAATCAAAACCACAATGAGGTATCACCTCACACCGGTCAGAATGGCCATCATCAAAAAATCTACAAACAAGGGACTTCCCTGGTGGCACAGTGGTTAAGAATCCGCCTGCCAATACAGGAGACACGAGTTCGAACCCTGGTCCAGGAAGATCCCACATGCCGCGGAGCAACTGAGCCCATGCGCCACATCCACTGAGCCTGCGCTCTAGAGCCTGCGAGCCACAACTACTGAGCCTGTGTGCCACAACTACTGAAGCCCACATGCCTAGAGCCCATGCTCTGCAACAAGAGAAGCCACTGCAGTGAGAGGCCCGTGCACCGCAATGGAGAGTAGATGCAACTAGAGAAAGCCCGCGTGCAGCAACGAAGACCCAACACAACCAAAAATAAATATCAAATAATAAATTTATTTTTTTAAAATCTACAAACGATAAATGCTGGAGAAGGTGTGGAGAAAAGGGAACCCTCTTGCACTGTTGGTGGGAATGTAAATTGATACAGCTACTATGGAGAACAGTATGCAGGTTCCTTAAAAAACTAAAAATAGAACTATCATATGACCCAGCAGTCCCACTACTGGGCATATACCCTGAGAAAACCATAATTCCAAAAGAGTCATGTACCGCAGTGTTCACTGCAGCACTATTTACAATAGCCAGGACATGGAAGCAACCTAAGTGTCCATCGACAGATGAATTGGTAAAGAAGATGTGGCACATATACACAATGGAATATTACTCAGCCATAAAAAGAAACGAAATTGAGTTATTTGTAGTGAGGTGGATGGAGCCAGAGTCTGTCATACAGAGTGAAGTAAGTCGGAAAGAGAAAAACAAATACCGTATGCTAACACATATATATGGAATCTAAAAAAAAAAAATTAATCCTGAAGAACCTAGGGGCTGGACAGGAATAAAGACACAGACATAGAGAATGGATTTGAGGACATGGGGAAGGGGAAGGGGAAGGTGGGATGAAGTGAGAGAGTGGCATGGACATACATACACTACCAGATGGAAAACAGATAGCTAGTGGGAAGAAGCCGCACAGCACAGGGAGATCAGCTCGGTGCTGTGTGACCACCTAGAGGGGTGGGATAGGGAGGGTGGGAGGGAGATGCAAGAGGGAGGGGGTATGGGGATATGTGTATATGTATAGCTGATTCACTTTGTTATAAAGCAGAAAGTAACACAACATTGTAAAGCAATTATACTCCAATAAAGATGTTAAAAAAAAAAAGAAATCGTTCTATAGTAAGTGCATAATAAGACACTTAGTATACAGCTACTTCTAGTGGGTTTCTCATTTCACCAACACCAAAGAAAACTTACAGGAGTGTGAACCGCTGTCTCACAGCTCCTTTAAATCTCCCCAGTCCTTATCTCAGAGATAAACCCAGTGCGTGCTCAGGAATAGAGCCATCTACGTGTAAAATGTCAGATCTAACTCCTCAATCGTACAATGCCTCCGTGTATCTTCACTCGACAGTCTGTCTGGTCTGTGTGCCTAAGTGAAGAGTGAATAAACTCTTGGTATGATGAAGGGCTAAGTTTTTTCAAAGAGACCAACAATAATACGTTTTAAATTTGTAGTAGATGGCATATACTAGTCATCAAATTGGTATCCAATTTTAATATATATTAATGCACAAACACTCTTCCAGTATTATACGAACTCATGAAATCCAATCCTTACACCCCATCAATATGTTGACTGGAATGTCAGATTACCAAGTTCAGTGAGAGTGTGGCCATATCTCATTTTTTCCTTTTTCATTTTAAATTGCCCTCCCACCACTCCCATGCTAAACTATCATGCTTGCTCAAGAATTCAAAGTGACAAAGATAGACAGCATCACCTGGTGAGCACAGACGTGCCAGTTATCAGTCTGTGGGTCCCATCACCACCTGAGGAGTGCTTCTTAAGAATTGGGTTTTTTAATAGCATTTCCAACAGGGGATCTCAAAATAAGATCAGATTACAAATGGCAGACAACAATTTCCTGTTTTCACTCTTAAATTCTTTCGAAATTTGACTAAGCATTATACAGTTGAAATGTTAGCAAATTAAGAAAAACTTTAACATCCAAATGAAGGAACTTCTTTATTTACCTTTAAAACCTATTAACCATGATTAAAGTCTATCCAGATTACCAAAACAGTTTATGATGCTGATCAACATAGTAAAGCACACATAGCACAGACTGAAAAAAGCAGGACATAATTCTTTTAAAAGTACCTTCCCTGGTATCTGGGAGAAAAGTTTAGGACTTTAGTTATATAGGATAGCTTTCCCTTAAGCCCCAGCCAAGGAAAAGTGAGCGTCATGCACAGACAGTACATAAGGGCAATGCAACACTCATGCAGAAAAGTCTAAATAAAATGACTTTCTTTCCACTCACACTACAGCTCACAACACAAAAAGAGAGAAATTATTTTACATTCCAAGAAAAACAACATTTTATTTCAACAGGTAATCCAAAGTAGAGGTCTTAGCCTGGGCATCTTTAGAGGTCTGTGGTTATATGCAAAATTTTGTATATGTATCCATCTTCACAAGAAAAAAGTCTACAGTTGTCACCATATTGTAAAAGAAATATGACCAAAAACAGGTTAGGAACCCATAGAGAGAATCCTAAGGTTTCTCCCCACTATTAATTTTTCATTAGTTTTATATAACCCAGCAAAGAGAAATGCTCAACAGTGAAGGAGGCTAAAACAGAGTAACATTTTGCTCACAATAAACTTCAACACAGGCAGCATTTTATATTAATGTGACACAAATCCACTCCCAAAAGTCAAGTAGGAAACAGGTCACTCCTCTCATCAAGCCATTTTGATAAACTCTCAAAATAGGGAGGGGACTAACAGGAAGATGATTAGCTTAGACTGTCGGCAAACCCATTCTCAGTTCTTGCAAACTGGGAAAGTATCTGTTCCCACAAAAATTTTAAATTCGATGAGAGTGTGGCCATATCTCCATTTTTTCCTTTTAAACTGCCCCCCTCCCTCCATCGCTGACTTTCTTGAAATATCTTACACAGAGCAAATATTCGTTAAACATCTGAACAAACACATGAACAAGTTACAATGACATGGGCCCCCTGGGAGTCAGACGGAAACCATGAGTTCCCCACAGGTACCAACCTAAGCCTGCCAGGTACAGTCTAGCGGCCAATCTCCACCTCTGGCCATTCTTGATGTTTTTGTTTGAAATGAACATATTAAGTGGCATGACACTCACAGTAATGACAGACTAGGACAGCAGCATCACAAAGTATGCGTTTCAGTACAACCTTGGAGCCGGGGCACAGGGCGGTACTGAGTGGAGGTGAAAAAAACAGAGAGAAGCCGAGCCGGTCAGGACCGAGTAAGGTTGAGGTTAGTGGCAACAGCATGTGCGTGGTTTCCGGGAAACCGTCAGCGAGCCTGCTGTTAGCCCTAGCCCCGCACCCTGCCCAACCCAGTGCGCCGCGTCTCCGTGCAGCTCTGGCGCGGCGCGGCACTGCCCGGCCCCCAGGGTGCGGCCGCCCCACCGGAACTCACCTTGGCAGCCAGCGGGAGGGCCTGAAGTTTAAAACACGTTAAAGAATCATGCCGAAAGTGCAGGGAACATGCACACCTCACGACTCATGTCTCCCGAGAGGCAGGAAACATGCCACCGGTAAGACAACCTCTATATAATATAAAACACCCTCAAAAGGATTCGGAGAAACCATTTCAGGAACACCCATATTTACCACACCAGTGAGAACAGAGCAGTAGTGGTGTTACTGCACCAAGAAATTGCACCGAGTGGACTAAAGTACCAAAAGTAATCATGGGCATCACCTACTTTAACCGCCATTATTTGCCCACTTGGTTTGTGGACCATTTTGTTGACAGAACCATAAGCTCCTCGTCCAATTTCTCCAAGGTCTTTCAAGTCCTCTGCAGTGAAATCCCAGTGCTGCTCAGGGGAGATCTTCAGTTTTCCTGACGATTCAATGCTGTGTGTTCTCAGTCTCTCTCTGTTAAAATATTGGGAAGCAATTTTTCCACATTTTAAATAGGTTTTGACTTTTTTCTTTTAGCTAGCACTGATTAATGCGTGGGAAAATTTGTTTTCTCATCAGTTACTAGAACAGTCTGCGATCCGGGTTTCCGGGGATTTTTTTTGTTCGTTTGTGTCATCTTGGTTTTTTACACACTGAGTTAATTAAGAAAGGCCTAAATTCAGGGAGTCAATGAACTCAGCTTTTATGGGATTCATAAAACCAAATTTCCATTTACTGAAGCAACTAATACTGCAGACCAGTTTCATTTCCAAATACGAGATCTTTTCCAAACTTTGCAAAACTGCATTATCAAATGCAGAATCGCAGGTGCTACAAACCTCATTTCCAAAAAGTTCTTATCCTACCTTACCCAACATTAATTATTCCAGGTCCTCGATCCTTAATACAGCTGTTCACAAACTTTGCTGCTCATCAGAATCACCTGGGGAGATTTATTAAATCCCAATGCCCAGGTATCATCATATAGCTATTATATCAGAATATGTGGGGATAGGGTCAAAAAACAGTATATTTAAAGATACCGCGATGATTCTAGCGAAGTTTGGGAATGAGCACCTTAGGATACTGCCCTATTCATGCTAAAGCCATGCTGAGGTGGGAGAACAGTTAAACAACTAGTCAGCTGGCTCTAAGAGGAAAACTACCATGTGCTATTCAAAATTGAGCCTCTCAGCCCTTGATCAATAGATAGAGCAATGGGGTGAAAAAAGAATGATTTATGGACAGAAGTGCTCACTTGTTACAGATTTTCATTAAATAAAAAAATCATCTCCAAAATGCCAGCACGGAGATCAAAGTATTAACTTCTAACCATACTTTGTAAAAAAGCAAATCCAATGAAAAATGTAAAATCAATCTCGTTTGTGTCTGCCTCTCTCTCACACACATACCAATGTGTAGGGATGAACTGTATCAAACCAGAGAGTGCAACAGACATAAAGAAAAAGATTCCATTGAATATCATCTACATTTCTTCAATTTCATATTAAATGATCAGAATCTCTTTTAAAATCTGATCTAATGATACAAGCAAGAACATGATTGGTTATCTATTTCTTCTTCCAAAATTCAGGAAATGTTTTCTCAGATTAGTAGAACTGTTTTTTGTAGTTACTTTTAAGGTTCTCATATATTTAGAATTTTAAAATGACTCCCCCAGAATAATCATTTATACTAGTACTGATATTAATAATAACCAAGAGTCAAGGTTAGAGTTAAAAAGTTACTATGCTTTGTCTAAATAACAACTTAGTGAACCAGCATTCCAAATGCCAGATTCTCAAATCATAACTTTAATAAGTCATAATACCAGCTTTCATTCGTAACAAGTTCTTTTCAGTTTACAAAATACTTTCACCAATATTATATATACCCTAGCATCTAGAGTCAAAGGAAGCCCAGAAAGCAGTGGCAGAAGTGACCATTCAGGTATGGAGGTGAAGCTTGAACTGGCTAAGATGGAAATCAGATCTAGGCAAGCAGATGAAGCCCAGTGACTAATTTTCTCAGTAATCTTTTTCATGAAGTAGACAGATTAAGCCAGGAAGTATTCTAACATAAAGAAGTTCCATGAATAACGACTATTGTTCTATGATCATTGGCAAGAAAACACCATCTTAATGGCTCAATTTAATCACTGGTGAAATATATAGCACTAGCCTACTGCTGAGGGTAGTGGCAGACAGGATCTAAGGTGCTGCCCATGACCTCCACTTTCCTGGCACCCACATCTTTACATAAGCTCCTCTGTTTGAATATGGATGGGACCTGCGACTTGCTTCTAGCCAAGAGAATATGGCAAAGGCTATCACTCATCATTACATTGTGTCATATAACGTTTGTTGCTAGCATTCCTGAGAAATGAAATGAATATTTCATTACTGCATAAAGTCAGAGAAAAACAAGTTATAATATTGTCTATCACACTGAAGGTCAAATTTTAGAATTATGAAATATCTCTGCTAATAGTTTAGCTTACTGTAAGCCTGCTGTATGGTTTCTGGATAAGATTCTTTTTTCTTTTTGAAAGTGAACAGATTGACAGATATGGAATGTGAGTTATCTTCTTAGGCTAACAAAAATGTTCAAAAATTGAGTAAGGTGACAGATGTACAACTCTGAATATACTAAAAGCAGTAGGGTTATACAGTTTAAATGGGTGAGCTGTATGGTGTATGAATGATATCTCAATACAGCTGCAAAAGAAAAAGATGAATAGGAGAATGTGATTACTACCCAGAGTTCCATTTTCTCACTTAGACAGGAAAAGAGTTGTGAAAACCACAGAAAAACATGCTACGGTTATGCCATCACCAAGGCATGTTCATAGAGTCTTCATTCATACTGGACTGGCGATCTTTCCAATGAAACTGTTTCACAGCTACTGTTACAAGAGTTAGTTCAACCATGATTGCTTCCGAAGAAGAACTGTACGTAGATAAAGCACTGTAGTAACCAGATCTGGAAGCCTGACCTGAACCTTTACCATGAAACTTTAGCAGTCAATCACTGAGGCAACTGTACCAAGCGGCCAAAACCCTAGTTATAGTTCTTTAACTTTAAGCAAATCTATCAAACAAGATTTAAGTGTTACTTCTATTAGACAGTATCAGAAATTCCCAGTCATTTCATTATTAATTTCTTACCTGGAAATTAGTTTGACTCAACTCAACAAACCTGTAAGTCATCCTCAATGCCTCTGCCTATCAGTGCCTTATATTCCTTCTAAAATAGGTTAAGTGCTCTACATGGACAATACTTAACCAGGACACCCCTCCAATGTTTTTGTTGAGTCCACTCAAGAAACAAGCAAAGGACTGAGGTTCCAAATCTCAAATTAACCCAAGTCTCAGAAAGGAATACAATCCCAGCCCCCTATCTAGCCCTCTACATAGGAAAGTCCAGTAGAAAAAAGTCCATAGAAAAATCAGTAATCTTCTCCTCTGGATTTAGAGGTCTTTAATATGAAAACAAGTTTTAGTAGTCTTTGTTATACTAGGACTTGTAATTAGATTATCAAATGATACACATTCCAGGTAAAAAATCAGCTACACACTTACATTTTTTAAATGCCTTACAGATCACAAATCTGAATTAAATGCGTAATGTATCTCTTGAATACGGTATTTCAAACAGTATATGTTTTTGGATAGATATTAACAGCACCAGGGAAGCTGTTTAGATATAGACTGATGTTACCATTAATATACTTTCTCCTATATAAAGGTTAGTAGAATTTTAGTGGTAATAATAGACGCTGGTGAAATCTACAGACACCAACACAAAGGATTAAAATGTAAAAAAAAAAAAAATCAATCAACCTTATCAATTTGAATCAAATTTGGAAAATCAATTCATGGACATACCATATCTTACCAACAGATATTCAACAGCTAATATAAACAGATTGGGTATACATGTCCCATGTGGTCAGTATCTTCATGTTCCTTTTCAAATGACAATATTCCCTGGCTTTATAAAAAGATGCCATATGAATGACTGGAAAATATCAAAGCTTTTAGGGCTTACCTCTCCCCAATTGTTTAAGGGAACACTTATTCCTCCCATGCCTCACTGTTCCATGCAGAGGGATCTGGTCTCTCACCTGAGGCCTTACTGACTGATCAGTGAATACAGAGAAGAAACTAAACACACTCTGTTCAATTCCTCTCTTTCAGAGCTAACCCTACAGGGAGGGTACACATGCTCCGGCAATGTCTCTCTCATGCCTTATATCAGGCTGCCACTTACAGGGTGGGTAAGTCTACATATTCAAGGGCAGGGGGAGTTAGCACCATAAGTTTGTTTTCTATGTCTGTGAGTCTATTTCCATTTTGTATATAGATTCATTTGTATTATTTTTTATATTCCACATATATGATATATAGTATTTGTCTTTCTTTGACTTACTTCACTAGGTATAATATTCTCTGGATCCATCCATGTTGCTGCAAATAGCAATAGTTCATTCTCTGTCATGGCTGAGTAATATTCCGTATATATATATATCATCTTCTTAAACCAGCTGTCTGTTGATGGGCACTTGGGTTGGTTCCATGTCTTGGCTATTGTAAATAGTGCTGCTATGAACCTTGGGGTGCATGTATCTTTTCAAATTAGAGGGTTTTTTTTTCCAGATATATACCCAGGACTGGGACTGCTAGATCATATGGTAGCTTTATTTTTAGTTTTTTAAGGACCCTCCATACTGTTCTCCACAGCGGCTGTACCAATTTACATTCCCACCAATAGTCCTATAGGAAGTTTCCTTTTTCTCCACACCCTCTCCAGCATTTATTATTTATAGACTTTTTGATGATGGCCATTCTGACAGCTGTGAGGTGATACCTCATTGTGGTTTTGATTTGCATTTCTCTAATAATTAGTGATATTGAGAATCTTTTCAAGTGTCTGTTGGCCATCTGCATGTCTCAGTACTTTCTCTGATAACTGATCTTCTGGATAGAAATAAGCAACTTGCCCGTTTACTATTTAATACTAAATCATCACTACTGTATTTTAATTACCATCCCTTCATTGGCCCAGACTAATCTATGAATTTCTGAAATCCTACTGATTCCAAAACAACTAAAGAACTGTGACATAATGTTCCAGAACGTAATCAGACTGGGCCCTGAGAAAAGCTTTATTTCTACCTCGTGTGTCTGATAAAGCTGCCTGGGGCTTTGTATGTAGGTGGGTGGGCTTGTTTTTTAAAGAAACGGAACGGCACGGCCAAGGTTACCTGGGAGAGCTCTAGCCCCAGCCCCGCCATCTACTAAACACAGGGTTCTGCTGTGCAAATTCAGCAGCAGGGCAAGTTCCTGAACCTCTTTTTCCAAGTAGACTACCCAATCCTAAATCCCTCTCACAGCTACACAGGTAGAAGAGAAATTTAAAACGAAAAATCAATCATAATCCAGAGAAAAGCACTATTAACATTTCAGTATAGA